ATTCTCTGTTCTCTGTTCCCTGTTCCTTTTATTCTGCGTAGCCCCTTACAGTTCCGGTATTACAAATTTTGTAGAATTTCGTTTCGGTCCATCGAAAAAAAGGGTTCCGGAACGGTTTTCGGTTCCAATTCCGGTTTCCTGGTTTTTTTTTTAGAACACATCTCTGATATATAATTAACTGATATATAGGCTCTACCATTCCAAAACAATAGCAGAAGTCAACCTCTCCATTTTTGCCCCACTAATTGACATCAAGTCTGTTCTTTATTGCTGAACTTTTGCACCAGTTAATCTTTTCCCTTTTCCCTTCTCCTGGAGAGAAAAGGCAGAAAGATAAACTAGTGTAAAAATTCAGCAATAAAGAACAGACCTACATTTATAGCGTTTTCTCTTGGCTGCACCAGTGCAGGGTGATTGCACCAGTTCATCTTTTTTCCTTTTTCCTTCTCCTGAAGAGAAAAGGAAGAAAGATGGACTAGTGCAAAAGTTCAGCAATAAAGAACAGATTTACTGTCTGAATGTTGCACTGGTGCAGTCAAGAGAAAACGCTATTAGTGTCATAGGGGCAATAGTTTTGAAGAACCATTCGACCGTGACGGTCGAATTGGGGCGCATTCAACTTCGCTAAGCAATTGATTCTCACCGATGAGTGTCCGCGGATAGTCTCGACTCGTTATGATGATATTGAATGCAATAGCAATAATATGGTACAAAATATAGTATTGTTTTTGTAAAAACGTGTACTTATTCAAAAAAATAAGAACAAAATATCGTATTTTTAGAATACCAAATCTGTAACTTGTAAAGTAAACGGACAGATGTGTTATGTCTAATGTGATTACGATGTTCGGTAATTCTAGTTTTCAATTGCCTGCTCGTTTGTCCAACATAAGATGCATCGCAATTAATATGTCTGAGGAGGACTGAATCCGAGAGCCGAGAAACTTGTAACTTTATTTGTATATATTTATTTATTATCATATTTGTTTAAGGCGAATTAGCGTTATGTTAATGTTAAATTATTAAAATTAATTATATGTTTTATTGTTGAACGGAAATTTTTATTGACTCTTATATCGCCCTTGACTTCATATTGTTTATTTTTTTAAATTTATTCAGGGATTTCTGGATCTGAAATTTCTGAGAAAATTATCATTTTACAGAATATATACTCATTTCTAAAAAGAAAGAAGTACACTAAAAATTAAAAAAAAAGTTTAAAATTTAAATATTTACCAAGATATTTTTAAATTTGGTAAATTTTTCCTAAATTTATAGTGTACCATTTTCTTAGGAGTGAGTGTATATATGTAATGTAACATTCTCCAAATATGTAACAATATATGAATTAAATGGTAAATTAAAAAAACAAATTAAGAGTCAAGAATTAAAAAATTTTAATCTTTAAATGAAGTAGTCAAAAACATAAAATAAATATCAAATCGTAAAAAAATGCAAAAAAACATAGCATTTAAAAACAAAAGAATTAAAAAAATAACTTTACAATATCGCAAAATCGTAAATCAATAACTTAACTAGTTTCGACTCCTGAATTGAGTCTTCTTCAGAAGTACAATTAGTGCAGTAATAAGAAGCATTGTTAATAACAGAAGAATCCATTCTTAAAGAAAGCAATTTATTAAAACGACTGATCGATCGGTAATAAATCTGTGGAAAAATGATTAAACTTACTATTCAACTTAATTAACAAATAGTGTAAAAATTAACAAGAAACAAGTTTAATTTTAAAACTTAAATGATGGACTCATCTACACACAATTTTTGTATCAAGGCTGTTGCATTTATCAGAATACATATTATCATAATTAACGAAGATATTAAAACAAGAAAATTAAAACGAGATAATGACAAGTCTGTACTCTGCTGAAATTGACTGTAAACTGAAAAAGGCAGCCGCACAACAATGTCAAACTTTGTTTATCAGAGGGATGTATATATCATGCAGGCCTTCAGTGTCTGTTTGTAAGTTTAAACTATTTTCCTGTCTTTTAATATTAATCATTTCTGACACTATCCGTTTCCTGTAATTAGGTTCTTCATCCAGAATCTCTACCTCATCCCAAAGAAAGTCATGGTCGTGCTGTAACCTCTGACAATGTCAGAAACACTGCTTCTTCAAGTTTTCTCGGTGGTTTTCTCTTAGCCTTGTCTTTCACATTAAAATCACCAGTTTTGAATCGATTGAACCAACGTTCACAAGTGTTTTGAGATGGCGCATATTCGTAATAAGCTTTTACAAGTACTCGATAAGTTTGAGCAACAGTTTTCTTCAAAATAAAGTAATGAATTAAAACCTCCCGCAAATGGTCTTTTTTTTTGGTACGAATTTTGACATTTTCAAAGCAGAAAAAGACTACGATATTTACACTCTCACAATTTTCCACATGTATGGTTTTGTAGGTTAGGAATAGCCAAACAAAATATTATATAGAGCCCGGATTAAAGTTCTAAAATCGCGTTGATCGTAGCTAGCTCTCCCCACTTTCACGTCGCCAAAGGTTGCGATGCGCGGTGTAGTATCAATGGTGGGGAGCGACGGTGATATGGCAAAGGTGTTACTTGAAACAAGGAACGGAATACAAGTGAGAAAAATATTAAAATATAGCAGATACATTAAACTGTTATTTCCAGATTTTCCCCATTATTTCGAATAGGCTTTCAAAATAACTTTATTCGATATTTTGTAATAACTTTCTTTATCTATAAAAGTAACACACAATAAAGTATGTTTTTAAATTGTTGTAATGAAGCCTCTTCGTTTTTCGCTCAATATATTTTTATACTGAGAAAAGCTGCGTTCTACGTCGCAAGAAGTAATAGGCGCGTACTTGAAAAATTTTTTAATTTAATCCTGTTTGAAAGAAATTTGTTTTTGCAAGACTTTGGAGAAGATGCTTTTATTGTCTTGTTTTTTTTGTTAATTGTCCCATCGCGCACCGCCGCGTTCCCCCCTATCGATGCTTCACGCAACAGCTTCGAGCATGACAAGTGGTAATGAGGATAGGAACGTGCTACGATCGACTCGAATTGGTACGTCCGTCGGCGGAAAATCCGGGCTCTAATTATATGTGTCAAATCATCACGCGTAAGAACGTATGTATGGCGCCACTTGTTACGAAAATCCGCATTTCATAGGTCCAGTGGTTGCAAAGATCTGCACTTTCCGAGCCGATTCCTGCAGGCGTCGCCTCCTATCCCCCCCACTACTGCTCGATGCTCGGCAGTTTTGGCGGCCATCGAGCAGTAGTTGGGGGGTGGACGCCTGTAATAAGAGACGGCGTGTAATAAGAGATGGGGCCTGTAGGAATCGGCACGGAATGTGCAGATCTTTGTGAGCACTGTCATAGGTATATATCTAATATTCTTATACTATACTATTTTAAAAATGTAAATTGTAATAAGGCTCAATATGTTTAAAACAAATAATATAGAGAAAAAGAGGGCAATGAGCCAAATAAATTACATTAAAAATCATATTAAAATTAATTTAATATATTGCGAAGAATATTACTTAAATACATATAGCGTTTCGTCCCAACTTCCACTACTGGACTCATCAGTAAGGCATTGTAGTGGAAGCCTACCTTAGACGCCTGGGAGAGTTATTTAATCGAGAATCTATTATATGTATATAAAGAGATATACGCATGTCAAAGCACTTTCGAGAATTTGCGAATATCGATAGACCTCTGATGGCAGGTCGACGTAATATTCTTCGTAATATTTATTATTAGTAATAGGGTAAACCCGGTATATACGCCGCACCTATCGGAAACTTAATTTATCAATTATTATTTACTATGTTTAAAGCAAATTAATTATACAAATAAAAACCTTGTATCATCTACTACTGTAAAAAAAATATTAGAAATCCAAAATAATATATTTTCCATATTAAAAAGTAACTTTTTCAAACCCCTGCATTTTTGCCATTTATCCCATAGGGGGGGG